AAGATAAATAAAATCTTTTATTGCATCCAATTCGTTTCATTTAAAATCCTTATCAATTTATAGTATTATCAGTCAAATCGAGACCTAAAGTGGAACCAAAACACGTAGCACGACCATATAAGCCTACTATAGCAACTATAACAAGTTGAAACTGATGAATCATACCTTAATTTCAAGAGGCACTCCGAAAATCTTCAAAAACTTGCACACCCCGTTTCTCTCTTCATTCCTCGTCTTTTTTGTAATTCCCGTGGGTTTCTCACTCGATTTCACAAGCTATATATAGTTCCTAACTCAAAAACTGAAGGAGTGCTCTCGTTTGCTCGAATTTACAGCCATATTGAAGAATGACGATTTTTGCCATTAATCCCCATAATTCTCTACTAATTACCTCATTATTCCATGATTTAATCATATTATTATAATGATGTAATCTAATTATATATATATTTTTATATCCTAGATTTAAGTTATCACAAACTTCCTTCCTTAAAGGAATTCCGTCCTTAGAATTTGAATTAAGCAAACAAATGAGAGTATTTAGTCTTCATATCTGGCTCGGTTTTTCTCATGTTGCATTCGAAACTTTATGATACTTCCACTGAACTTTCACCAATGGTATCTCCATATTTCTTAAATTTCTGACCATTCGATCTATAATTGTGACACGTTCTTCTGTATATCGCAACTTCTCATCAACCTTAATTTCTTGAAGTGGCACTTCCATAGTGGCATCCGCCAGACACTTCTTTAGATTAAATACATGGAACGTGCTATGAATGCCCTGCATTTCCCTTGGTAGCTCCAATCGATAAGCCACCTCTCTAACTCGTTCCTTAATTATAAAGGGTCCAACATAGCGAGGACTTAACTTCCCCTGCTTACCAAAACGCACAACGCCCTTCCATGGGGACACCTTTAACATAACTTTATCACCACCTGAAACACTATTGGCTTTCTCCGCTTATCTGCATAACTTTTATGTCGATCCTGAGCAACCTTAATGTTATCCCTAATCACCTGGATTTTGTCGGTAGTTTGCTAAACAAGTTCAGGTCCAGCCAACTGTTTCTCCCCACCTCATTCCAACATAATGGAGTTCTACATTTCCTGCCATATAAAGCCTCATATGGTGAGACTTTTATACTTGCATGATAGTTATTGTTGTAGGCAAACTCAATTAACGTTAAATGAGTTTCCCAAGACCCTCCAAAATCAATAACACAAGACTGTAACATATCTTCCAAGGTCTGTATTGTCCGTTCTCTTTGCCCATCTGTTTGCGGATGGTATGCCATGCTCAATTTTACTCGAGTACCCATTTCTTGTTGGAAGCTACCCTAAAATGTCGACGTAAAGCGACTATCCCGATCTGAAATAATAGATAATGGAACTCCATGCAGTTTCACTATCTTGTCAACGTATAATTTAGATAGCCTTTCTAACGAGTACATCTCTTTAATCGGAAGGAAGTGCGCCGATTTCGTTAATCTATACACAACTACCCAAATCGCGTCGTAACCTTTTGGTGTCCTTGGTAGCTTAGTCACAAAGTCCATTGTGATGTGATCCCATTTCCACACTGTAATCTTCACTGACTGTAACTGACTGTATGGCCTTTGGTGTTCAACCTTCACCTTCAAGCACATCAAACACCTTTTAACAAAATAGGCTATATCCTTTTTCATCCCTGGCTACCAGTAAGATTTCCGTAGGTCTTGATACATCTTGTTTGTTCCCGGATGGATTGAGTACTTTGACAGGTGCGCTTCCTTGAGAAGTAGGTTACATACTTCAAGCCACGACTATCCTTTTCCAATGATTGTATTACTCCCACACTCCTTCACTTTTCCACTTCTCTTCCTTCGACGCCTCCTCTTGAATATTTCTCAAATCACCTAGTAAGCTGGTGGTTACCCTAATCTTCATCATACGAATCTTAGGTGGTTCTCTTTTTTCCTTACGACTTAGTGCGTTAGCTACAACATTTGCCTTCCCTGGATGGTACAATATCTCACAATCATAATTTTTTAATAGCTCCATCCACCGTTGTTGTCTCATGTTCAAATCCTTTTGATCAAACAAGTATTTCAGACTCTTGTGATCAGTGAAGATCTGACACCTTGTCCTATACAAATAGTGTCTCCAAATCTTTAAAGCAAACACTTTTGCAACAAACTCCATATCATGTGTTGGGTATTTACGCTCGTGAACCTTCAACTGTTGTAAGGCATAAGCAATCACCTTACTGTTTTGCATCAAAACACACCCCAAACCTAACTTGGATGCATCACTATAAACAACAAAGCTATCATTGTCTTCTGGTAAAGATAATACTGGTGCACTGCTAAGCTTTTCCTTTAAGACGTTAAAGGCATTATCTTGCTCTAGCTTCCATTCAAACTTCACATTTTTACTTGTCAGGGTAGTTAGCAGTGCAGCTATGCACGAGAAGTCTTGTATAAACCTTCTATAGTATCCTGCCAACCCAAGAAAACTTCGAACTTCTGATGGGGTTCTTAGCGGTTCCCATTTTCAGTCGCCTCAATCTTTGCTGGGTCCACCTTGATACCATGTTCGTTTACAACATGTCCCCAAAACTGGACTTCCCGAAGCCAAAACTCATACTTTGAAAATTTGGCAAATAACTTTTCTTTCCTCAATAAACTAAGTGTTAGTTGCAGATGTTGCTCATGGTCTGCCTTACTTTTAGAGTATATCAAAATGTCATTGATAAATACAATTACAAACTTATCTAGGTATGGCTTGCACACCTGGTTCATCAGATCCATGAACACAGCTGGTGCATTGGTCAAACCAAATGACATTACCAAAAACTCGTAATGACCATACCTAGTTCGAAAGGCTGTCTTCGACACATCTTCTTCTCTGACTTTCAGTTGGTGATACCCCGACCACAAATCGATCTTTGAGAAGTAACTTGCCCCTGAAGCTGATCGAATAGATCATCAATTCTCGGTAAAGGATACCGGTTCTTTATAGTCACCTTGTTTAACTCCCTGTAGTCAATGCACATTTGCATTGTCCCATCCTTCTTCCTGACGAACAGTAGTGGTGCACCCCATGGTGAGGTACTGGGCTGAATAAAACCCTTGTCGAGCAAATCTTGCAACTGAGCCATCAACTCCTTCATTTCAGTTGGTGCTAACCAATAGGGCGCACGAGCTATCGGTGCTACTCGTGGGGTAAGATTGATTCGAAACTCCACTTGCCTATCCGGTGGCAAGCTAGCTAGGTCATCAGGGAACACATCTTGGAATTCGCATAGAACTGGTATATGTGTTATTTCAGGCTTGTCCTGCTTGGCATCGAGAACATATGCCCACTAACTTTGACACCCTTTCTTTAGATAACGAGTTTCCTTAGTCACTGATATCAAAATAGAGTCCTTAACTTACTGATCACCGTAAATCTTAACCATTCCTTTTTCTGGCACCCAAACTTGAACAATCCTATTTTCACAATCTATAATCGCTTGGTTTTTCGACAACCAATCCATCCCTATAACAATATCAAAATCACCTAGGGCTATAGGTAATAATTTTAATGGTACCACACCACCTTCTATTTCTATAGAGCAATCATCATATTCCTCTCTTACTACTACCCGATGATCGTCATCAGTTTCAATTTCTAAGGCATGTTCTAGAGTCTTTGCATTTCTACCTAGGTTTTTGCAAAAAGTAGTAGACACAAAAGATCTATTTGCACCAGAATCAAATAACACCCTAGCATGAATTGAGTTTACTAGGAAAGTACCTGTCACTACATTGGGGTTTTCCTGAGCCTCCTGAGCCGTCATGCGAAAAGCTCTAGCGTTTGGTCTACCAATATCAGCCTTTTTATCTGTTGACCGATTGTCTGTTATCCTGCCTTGATTGCTGTTACCTTTACTCTGGGGACATTTTGAGTTAATGTGGTTAGGGGAACCACACCTGTAACATACCCTTTCTATCTTACATTATGTGGCTATGTGCCCTGGCTTCCCACACTTGTAGCAAACTTTCTGATTCATGTTACACTCCCCCTTATGATAACGGTTGCATTTTGGACATTCCGTTACTCCAGAGCTTTGATCAACCTTACGTTCTTGCCCTGAAGTCTTGCCTTTCTTCGAATCATTATTCGTACCATCCCATTTTCTTTTCCCCAAAGCCCTGTCTTCACCTTGACGATTCTTCTCACGTTCGTGGCCTTCTGCAGCATCAACTGCAGACTGGAAAGTACCCAGTTTTTGAATTTGCACAAATTCATGGATAACTGTTCTCAATCCCCATATATAGCGTTCCACCCTTCTTTCTTCCATAGAAACGTAAAATTCGGCAAACCTAGCTTTCTCCGTGAACTTAGTGGTGTACTCTCGCACAGTCATATTCCCCTGTTCCAACCTCAAGAATTCTTCCTCTAACTGTTTAACCGTTGTACGAGGGAAAAAATTTTCTTTAAAAATCTTAGGAACTCATCCCATGACATATTCTTGGCTACCTCACGCCCCTAACCTCCTTCACCATGCCCCACCAATGTATTGCCTCCCCTTTTAGCATTGTCGTAACATAAATCACCTTGTCCTTATCCACATAATTGCTAGTATCGAACGTTCCCTCAATCTCCATGATCCATGTTGATGACAAAATGGGATCAATTTCTCCGTTAAAAATGGGTGGCTTGCAGTTCATGAACGTATTTTAACTACAACCCCGCCAATCGTGGTTTCCATGATGCCTTGTGGGTTGTGTAATACTTGGTTCACAACTCATATTTGGTGTATTGTACTTGTAGTCCTCTTCACCTCCACCCAAGTTACCTTCATACTCACCCATTATTGCTTCTCATGCTTGAGCAACTACATCTGGTAAGGTGTCTCGAATTACTCGAGCAATCTCATCAACCAACTCTTCTCTAGTGACCGTGTTTGCCGCACGACCCCTTCCACGACTTCGACCTCAACTGCGGTGGGATCCGGAGCTACCATGGGCCGATTATACAGGTATCGGTGCTGTAACAGCTCCTCGGCCTCTTCCTCTACCCCTACCTCTTCCTTGGCCCCGTCCACAACTAGCGTTTGGGATCAGTGGGGCTTCTGGTAGATCTCCTGGTGCTCTAACATAAGCTCTAATTGGGATGCGTTCTTCCTCCGGAGTGACCCTAGTGAACCTCCCAGATCTTCATGAATACATATTAACTACATATTTATGTTTGTAACACAATAAGTATAACAAACATAAACTTTATTCCAAATTATTAAAACTTCAAAAATTGACATATGTCTTGTTCACATCAAGTCACTTAAGCCAACAACCAAGAGAAATAAAAAGACAAATCATTGCACTCCTACTTTCTACTTTTTAAAAGCAATATCATCATATTTCAATATTTGCTTTCCCTCCTTCAAGTACTTCCTTATCTTTTTAGCTTTTCGATCTCCGGGACCACTTTGAATGACCAGCACCTCGGGCTGAGGTGGGTCTCTTCCAACCACCTTATTTAGGAATCTGTAAGTTTCCGCCTTGGCTTGTTTTGCCTGAGCCACAAACCCTTCCTACAACTTAGTGATAGTGGGTTTCCTTAGCTCAAACACCTCCTGTTCCAACCTTCGTATCTTGCGCTTACTTTTCTCAGTGGCCTCAACACGTGTTTGGTTCTTCTGTACGAGCCTTGACCTATGTTCATCTATCTCTTCAATCTTTCTTCTCAAACCGTGAATCTCGAGCTGTGCCTGTGGCATTTCATCTTTATAAAGTCTCTTCCAATAGGTACCAGGACTAGTTGGCGTGTACTCCACATAGGGCATATGGAACGTTTCGTATCTTTGTTCCACATGGTACTCCACGTGATTTCCCTCGGGTTCTTCCTCGGGGTCTTCTTCGGGTTGCTCATCAGGGTCTTCTTCGGGCTCCTCCTCAGGATCTTCTTCGGGTTCCACCACAGATTCTACATCCTCGTCTTCTTCATCTCGCTCAGATAGGCTGAGTGGAGTCGTTGGTTCCAAACTCCCTTACGAATCAGAGAGCTCTAACTTGGCCTTCAACTTCGCGTGGGGAAGTAACCTACTAGTACCCTCAACTGACACCCCACCATCGATGATTTCCTTTCCATGATCGATAGTACCTACAAACGAGACGCATTCCAGATTAGGCGATGTACCGCTCCTTCGGTTTAAGCTTAGGCGTTTAAACAATGACTAATCTGCTTAAACAACGCTCTAATACCAACTTGTAACGCCCCAAATTTCAAATACCAATAAACTTAACATAGTCCCAAAACATCCAAAAATCAAGATTCAAATACTAATGTAATTATTAATAACAATAGTGGAAGCAAATAGAAATTTAAGTAAACACTTGGTGCGCTACGTCTTCCTCAAAACTTGTCGCCTTCTTCAAGTCTGAACTTTATCCATTCCATTCCCGCTACCACTTGCTACGTTATTTCCTGGGTTGCGTGCATTTAAAGATTCTAATGGGTAAGCCTAGGGCCTAGTGAGTTCGTGGTTTTGATGCATACTGACATTAATAAAAAATTAATGCAACAATTTATCAAATATATTTCTTTTCATTTCTTTCCAACCTCTGTGACACACTAGGGAACTACTGTCATTTTCAGGGAACAGGTCCCTCCACCGGGCATGACAAATAAGCTTATGGCTATATAAATAGAGCGTAAGCTCTCCGCCGCGTACTAACACACTGTACGACGACTAATAATAAGACCGTGTAAATACACCTGTTCCTTATATATATATGTATATATATATATATATATATATATATATATATATATATATATGTCACCCACCATTTTCACTCCTGTATATGAAATAATTCATAAAATTCACACAAATAATTATAGCAATAACAACAGTAACATGTAATTGTAAATAATTTGAAATCAACTTTTCATGCAAGTAACCACAAATTGACACGAAACTCACCTTGTTGGCGTTAGGTCTTAACCAAAGCTTGTCACACTACATGCTCCCTACATTTAACCAACATATTTTCTAAGGCTCCCTTCTAGGAAACACTCTCTATGTGCTCGTTTGGTTCCACTATTCACTTATCTCGTTCGACCAACCAATAACTATACAATTTTATTATTCATAGGATTGATATTAATATTTGATCTAAATAGTATATTGTGTCATTATCGAACTACGAAAGCCTTCTTGTTAGAACAAAGTTCTATCAGGATCGTATGATTCTAAGCAAAATATTAATAAGAGCGTAAATAAGAACACAAGTATTGCAATGGAGATGTCGAATGATTAATGCAAAATACCCCAGAAGAGCTCGATTAAGAACTTCAATCTGTAGAGGTAAAAATTAGGGTTACCAGAATCAACGTGAACGACTAATCTCTTATATACGCATACATGCATGCATATATTTATAACAAAACCCTAACAACTTATTTAGATAAAGGAAACTATTCTAGATAACTACAGATGGATAAGCCCAATCCGATTACAAAACAAATAACCCAAGACGCAACACTAAAATATTCAACAATCTCCTCCTTTGCGTCTTTGGAGCAGAAACTCTATTCTCTTTTCACACCAGTGGGCGTCTTCACCGTTTCAAATATCCTCGGTATAATGGCCAGAACACGTTGTCTAAATGTTATATACCACCGAAGCAAATCTGTAAAATTCTTCTTGTCTGATGCTGAGTTCTGCTTGCATCGATGAATGATGTTGATAATATGCTCCAAACAATCTGTTGAAAACAGATGCTTGTCAACCAATGCAAACAGAAACTTAAGTCTGTCACCCATAGTGAACATGACAGTCAAGTTAGTTGAATCAATCTGCCCCAACTTTATTTTATTTACATCACCAGGATTAGATGTTGGCTTGACTGTCGGCTTCTTATTCATCACCCTTGCTATCTCCTGATCCATTGTGGCAAGCTCATGGATATAGGAGGCCAACATCCTTTTAAGATGTTTCAAAAAAGGCTCATACTCTCGTTGATTTGAGAGCAGAATGTTGTATAGCAAGATCCAATCATGAGGATTAAGATTGGGAAGATCTGCCAGAGAGATGAAATATTCCGTGTTTGCGGTACCACGGTTAATCTTGAAATGTACATTCATAAATCTCTCAGCAAGTGATGATTTCAGTACCTTGACTCTTGTAATCTTCTGTGCACTCCAAGTCAAGTACTGCGGTTGATAGTTCTTCAAGTAAAAATCAACTAGCTCCCTGTCAAACTTCAAATTGGGAAAAGGAACCTCAATAGTGACCTCAAAGCAATGATAAGTAAATGCTCTTTTAGTGATTGGCATGTCAAACTGCGAGTCCTTTGAGTTTTCACATTCAAAAGAAGCAATCGGTTCCAACCAATACATGGAAGGAAACTCAATCGATTGGGTGATAAGAGTATCTCTGTCCCACTCGGGAAACAGAGTCTTTTTGCACTGTAAGATATCCTCTGCTTCTTTAGTCATTTTCTCCTTCTCTTCAGCCTCTCTTGCCACCTTCATAGTCTCATCAAGCTCTCTGTCTCGTTTCTTTAGCTTGAGAGCTTCGACAATAGTCTCTTCAGGATTAGAGTCACTGTGTTCTAGAATTTTCTTTCCAGAAACCGAAGCTACATTAACCTTCGGTTCTGTTTTGACTTTACTCTCCTCTCCCCCTTGTGTCAGAAGAAAGACTTTCTCCGAGATGCCTTTCATTTCACTAAGAAGAGAAATGGCAGGAAGAAGTTTAGTTTGGAGATGCTTCCAAATAGTTAAAGTCAGAATCGGATCATGGGCTTCGAGAAGAGCAGTCAACATATTCTTCACATCACCAGCACAACTTTGAAAAACAACCCTTTGAGTCTTGAGCAGAGAGATCTCTTTTTCATTCTGGGCCAGTTGTACTTTCTGTAGATCAATAGTTGCCTGGTGTTTTATCAAGTCTTACTTCAATGTGCTTTCTGCAGTTAAAGTAGCAAAATGAGAATCCAAGGATTGAATAAAAGATGTGGATTCTGTTTTGAGATCAGCACGAAGGGCATCAAACTTAGTAGTCTCTTCTTGAAGAGTGTGAGAAAAGGAGTCAACAGAAGCTTGGTATTTTGCTGCATTAGTATCAGCATGAGCTTTGAGTGAATCAAGGAAAATTTGAGTTGTATGAACAACCTTAGTGACCTTCTCTGTGGCCTGGGAACATGAAGCTATGGACTTGTTAACTGCAGTAGTAGATTGGTCAATGGCTTCAGTATATTGCTGAATAGCAGTTTCCACAAAAGCTTTCATGACAACCCCACTATAAGCTTTGCTGTCTGCAAGTAGTCGGTCAAGCTTTTCATTAATGTCTTGAAGCTGTTGATTATTGGCAGGAGCATCAGCATCTGTATTAGTTGGAAGCCGGTAAGGACTAAAGTATAATGAAGCATACTCTTCATCATCTCATCCCAAAGTGGCACCAGAGGTAGAAGATGGGGTGGGAGATGGTGGTTTAGAAACAGGTGGATCAACCACAGGAGTAGCCTCTGTATCAGATACATTGACTTCTACTGGGATCTAGGGAATGGTGGTGATGGATTCTGTTGCAAGAGGAGTTGAGATAGGTGTAGTGGAGATAGGAACAGAGGTATAGGTAGTTGAAGTTGGTAGAGAAGAAGTTTCAACAGGAAGGGTTGGTATATCTGTGGGAACAGAAAGTGGAGCTTTCTGTTTTGGTGATTGGGTTGGAGTGGAAATTGTTGTGGGTTGAGGAGATGGAGGTGGGGTTTGAGATCTCGGAGGTGTAGGCTCTCTGGTGAACACTGGAGGATTCTCAGTTTCTGCTTCTTGATCTTCAAGGGTGTCAGGTTCAGGAGACAAATTTCTCTTAGGCCTTTTAGCCATCTTCTTAATCTTCTTCGGCTTTGTTTGAGAAGAAGCTTCCTCACCAGCCTTTCGTTTAGAAATTTTCAGCTTTTTCTCCTTTGCTTCTTCTTTCTCTGTTTTAACCACCCGCTTGCCTCTGGGAGCAGGTTGTTCCAAAGCATCTAGGGCAGCTTGTTGTTCTCCAGACAAGACCCTTGGACCAACTGGAGACAATTTTCGGTAATCGTCCATCACTGTGCTTTGTGTTGTGACACACCTGTACATCGATTCAGAAATTGATCCATAATGAGGAAACTTACGTGGATCAGATAGAATAATCTTCGTGGTGTGATATGTAGCGATAGAGGCAAGAAGAGCGTCTTTCATAACCGGAATCTCCAAAGAATCCATAGCTTTCCTTGTAATCACAGTCCAAAATCGACCACATGAAATTTCGGAGTGACGGGTTGTCGTATTCAAACTCTGCACCACTTGGGACCAGATTATTGTGCCATAATCCAGATTGATCCCGTTATATAGACCATAAAGAATGGGGAGAAAGCCTTTGCTTGTGGTATAAGAACCACCACTTCTTTCTGCCAAACCCTTGATGAGCAGGGTCAGCAACCCATTCCACTGCGATGGTAAGCAGGACTTCTTGACCTTCGCCACCGTTGTAAGGACGTCGGTGTACACCATTTCGTACAACATTGTGAAGATTTGGGTTATAGTGATGAAGTCTGGAGAGATGATGGAGGAATCAACTGCAAGCCCTAAAAGGGAACAAAATTTCGTCTTTGAAATCGAGGATTTCTTATCGTGAATACTGAAGTAGATGCGATCCTTATTCTTTTCATACGTCGCTGATGAGTACACTTGAGAAAGTAGCGACATCGGAACTGCTTCGACTAGGGTTAGGGCCATTACCAGTGGGGAATACTTCAGAAATTCCACCACATGCAACATATATGAGTCATATGCGAATGGACTCAGGTCGATTATCAGATTTTGGTTGGGTCGTATTGTAAGCAAGGAGGATGTAGCAGTTTGATCATGCGCGGAGGATGAGGTCGCCATTGTTGAACAAAGAAGAAGATGAAAAGTTTAATCTTTGTATAAGAGAGATAATCTGTGACTTGGTAAATGACAAAAAAAACGATCACCCCTATTTATACGGTTGCCTGGAGAGAGAAATCGTGATGATGAGGTTGCTAAAACGTCGCCTGAAAACGCGCGATTTGACAGGGTGGTTAATCCCAGGAAAACGTAAGCACGCGTGGGTTTGAAACGGATCAAAT